CATGCCAGGCGAGCGCGCTACCACTGAGCGACATCCCCAGCCCCTTTTGTTAGTTTTTGACATGGGGTCTTGCTGTGTTGCCCAGGAAGCCTCAAATTCATTATTCACCTGTCTTAGCCTCATGAGTAGCTATAGTTAAAGGCGTGTGCCAACATGCCAGCTTAAAGGGTCTTATTGAACAATAATTGTAATATGGAGTAGGTATTTGTTTTCCACGTTTATGTAGCTCTTCAGGCAAGGTCTATAAGTTTTTGTCCTCATTACCTTATTATAGGCATTCAGACTACATTTTTTAAATCCATTGATTTAAAAGATAAGTTCTGAAATGAGGTATTCTCACATGATAACTTAAGATTGGGAGTTCTTCTAGCCTGTAGTTCTAATAAAGTTAACCACTATCCATTTTGAACATGGAGTTGGTTTAAGTTATGTTATAACCCCTTGGTGTTTTAGAGTTTGCTATAAACTCTAAAACATCGGAAGGCTAACCAAATTGATAGCTTATTAAACTGGCATTCRGGTGGATTATATATACATAGAAATAGAATGTTGGCAGGAGGTGTGCTGGGGATGAAATCTAGGGGCACTTAATCAACTGAGCCACATCCCCACCCCATTTTATTTTTATTTTGAGAYAGGGTCTTGCTAAGTTGCTTAGGGCCTCAGCCTCCTAAAATTGCTGGGATTACAGCACCTGGCAAAATGGTTCTTATGGTTATTATTAATAAAGTTAACTAAATATGTAACTTTGATTCTTGAGTAGCAAGATAATTTAGTGGTAAAATCATAGACAAAGATAATTCAGCTTTCTATTCATCCTATTGTCTCTATTTAGAAAAAAGTTAGTTTCTATTATCATTAATGCTTTTTTTAAGAAAAGGACATATTATATGCTTTTAGTCTGGAAAATGTGTAAGATTCTAATTTAGAGTGGTGGTTTTCCATGATTGCTTCCTGAGAAAAAGGCTCAGGTACTGTGTTTAAACAGTAGAAAGCACAGAAGGCCATTAAGAGAGTTGATCTGATCCTTTGAATGCTTGACTGCTGTAAATATAAGTAGGAAGGTATAGTACTCTAAAATCATAGAATGAAGAAGAAAAGTATTTTAGAGTTTGAAGAATGAGACTAAAATCAGATTTACTACCAGTAAGAGAAATAAAATTATATAAATACGTCCCAATTGGTTTAGCCAATTTGTTTTCCAATTTAGATTACTGTTACTTTTGTTCAACTTTGAGTTCCCCTTAAAGAAATAGTTGTCACTTTTTTAAAATGTTTAATGCAGTGTTTTACAACGTGGTAGTCAAGCGCTTTTGGTATTAATGGTTCTTTTTTTATTTGTTTGGCAAAATAATTTTTAACTAATATGAAATTTATCTGTAAAAAGATTGGAAGAAATTGGACCCTGATCTGTTATAAAAATTATTTAAAAATACACTTTTGAGGTAACATTTGTGCATACTTTTTGACTTTGAGTACAATACATAAATTTCATCACCTACAATAATTTGATATTAACTTTTTCCCCCTCTTGTTTTCTATTATCAGGAGAAAGCAGTTCAACAATTTCTACAGAAGACCTAAAAGAATGTCTAAAGAAACAATTAGAATTCTGTTTTTCACGGTACAGAATCATTTTTATTGATATTTTTTCCTTTTTTTTTGAGTTATTTGGTTAGTATAATACCTATGAAATAGAGTAGAAGAATGTTGGTTCTCATTTCTTTGTAGTACTGTATTTTGGTATCATTTGTGGTATATTTTTAATCTAAATTTAAAGATGTAATCTCCAATTAGATATGCAAAGAATCTGTTCTCAGTAGAAAGATAATGAAGTTTCTATTAGATACTTTTTCTGTGAACATATTCAGTCTCAGGGTTCTCAAAAGTAGTTATCAAACAAAAATTAAAAATCAAATTAGGGCTGGGGTATAGYTCAGTGGTAGAGCAGTTGCCTAGCAAGTGTGAGGCACCGCATGAAAAATAAATTTAAAAGATATTGTATCCATCTACAACTTAAAAAAATCGACAAATTAATGGAGAGGTAGGGGAAAATACTTCTTTGATTTTAGGAATTGACTCTTGTAACTTTTGAACATAGTTATTTTTAGCAAGGTAGTAAGGAGATAGGCAGAGGGATTATATACTATCAGTGTCTTCTGTTAAATACAGAGTCCATTTAGGCAATGTCTTATGTATCTAGATGCCTTGGCACACACCTGTAATCCCAGTGACTCAGGAAGCTGAGGCAGGAGGATCACAAGTTGCCAACTTGGGCAGCTTAGCAAGGCTGTGTCTCAAAATCAAAAATAAATGAGGCTGGGGGTTGTGGCTCAGGTAAAGTGCCCCTTTTTTTATGTATGTACGTATGTATGTATGTATTTATGTTTTTAGGTATGTATGTATGGTGCTGAGAATTGAACTCAGTGCYTCACACATGCCAGGCAAGTGCTCTACCACTGAGATTCCTATCATAACTTCTTTATACATAATGAACCCTTGAGCCATGTTTAATTAATTCTTTATCCTAAATAACTCCTGTATCTTATTATCATCTTTTTAAAAAARCAAAATATTTGTTTATTTTTATTTTTTAGTTGTAGGGGGACACAACAACTTTATTTTTATGTGGTGTCGAGCGCTCTACCTCTGAGCCCCAGCCCTCTTATTATCCTCTTTACATTCTTGTAGTTTGCAGGATGAAAGTAAGAGTCTCCTGGCTTTTTTCTCTAATAGTTCTGCCTATAATATAATTCATTTTCTAGAACATACTTGTAATAGTTACTTTATTTTACTTATTGTTGCTGGGTACAGTTTCACGGCTGTAATCCTAGCTACTAGGGAGGTTGAGGCAGGAAGATCAAGAGTTTGAGACCAACCTGCACAAATAGCAAGACCCTATCTCAAAAAAAWTTTTTTTTTCTATAGACCACTTGTGGGTCTGCTTCTGTTGTCTGAGTTTTTCTTTTTATCCTCCACCATAGTTTCTTGCCTTTTCGCATGTCTTACAAATGTTGATTGTATGCTGGGCATTACATATATAAGAAGTATGTAAGCTGTAGGTAACAATTTTCCAATCTAGGCAATAATTAAGCTTCTATTAGGCAGATAGAATGAAATATTGATTGCTTTAATCTAGTCAGGAATTGAACTGCATCAAATCTGAGCAGCCATTTTAATTAGACATAGTTCCTCCAGTTTCTCTTCATTAGGAACATCACTAATTTTTCAGAGATTTGAAGTTAGCTCTTTATCTTCTTAAGCCGTACAAACCTACATCTGGCAAATGCTTTGCTGGGGAGACTTGTTTCATGCAGGTTCTGTTTCCATTGGGACCACACAGATTTTACTTTGCCTTTTCATCCTGGCTCACAATCTCTCATATTCCTTAGAACTCAGGAAACTCTGTTTTGGGAACTAATGTAATTTTCAATTCATAGTGTTAATCATGTGTCAAGTATATACACTTCATAACTATACATAACTGCCTAAAGCTCTGCTGGCTTCTTTTTTGCTCAATATAGTTCCTCTATGCAAATGCACTCCATAAGGTCTTTCTAATATTAGTTGTTTTTGTCTTTGAAGCTTCCACACCTCTCCTATTATCTTTCAAAACATAATTCTTGTAATTTATCCAAGCTTTTTTTGTGATGGTAGTAGGAGCTCTTGCACATGATATAGTACATCATGTCTAAGACTGTGATGCTGTTCAGACCAGCCAGGTGGTTATCATTTGTAGCTCAGCAAGATTGCCATTAAAGCCAAGCATTGTGGCACACACCTGTAATTCCAGCAACTCAAGGCTGAGGCAGAAGGCCAACTGGGGCCAGCCTGGGGATGTGGCTTAGTGATTAAGCACCCCTAGGTTTAATCCCCAGCACTCCCCCGGCCCCACTTCCTACCCCTCCAAAAAAACCCAAAAAACCAAAAACAACTTGCCATTAATATATGTCAAATATTATTCATGAATAGGTAAGTCTGAGATGCTGTATCAATTATTTTTATTTACTTCTGAAAAGGTATAGTAGTTTTTTGTTTGKTTGGTTGGTTGGTTATTTGGTGTGATTTTGTTTTTGGTGGTGCTAGGGATTAAACCCAGGGCCTTGTGCATGCRATGCAAGCACTSTGCCAACTGAGTTATATCCCCAGCCCCAAAGGTATTATTATTAAAGTTTTATTAGCACATTTTGACACATGATTTATTATAATAGATCTGCCAAAAGACAGGGTAGGTTTAGGCTGCAGCCTTTTAGTTGTGCAAAAATTGTTTATGGTTATCTAATTTTCAAGTATATTCATTATTCTTGTTGATTAGGATGTTATTAATGTTTCATTTATATGTGGTACTGAGAATCAAACCCAGTGCCTCACACCTGCCAGGCAAGTGCACTACCACTGAGCCCCAGCCCAGCTACATCCTTTTATTTTTTACTCTGAGATAGAGCCTCCCTAATTTGCTGAGGGTCTTACTAAATTGCTGAGGCTGGTCTTGAACTTGTAATCCTCTTGCTTCAGCCTCATGATTTGCTAGGATTACAAGCATGGGCCACTATAGCCAGCTGGACACAAGGTTTTTGAAACACTGAACAAAAGAATATCATTCATGGAACCCATATTCTGATGTGGGGACAAGAAACAATAAGCAGAATAATTAAGTAGTTTATAGTTAGTAATACGTTTGAACATTGCTGTGGGAAAAAAATTTAAAAGTATGGTTTAAGTAAAGGAAAGAGATTCCAAAGTGCCTATGTGGTGTTTTTTTTTTTTGTTTGTTTGTTTGTTTGTTTGTTTTTTGAGAGAATTTTTTAATATTTCTTTTTTTAGTTTTCAGCGGACACAACATCTTTCTTTGTATGTGGTGCTCAGGATCAAATCCGGGCGCGCTACCGCTTGAGCCACATCCCCAGCCTGCCTATGTGGTTTTAAATATGGCAGTTAGGTCAGGCGTCTGAGAAGGGAGCTTTTAAGCACAAACTTCTAGCAAATTTTGCTAGTCTGCTTCAAAGAATATTTGATATGAATGAAAAGACAGGAATTTATTTCAATTTGTTAAAAAGATTTTATGTGTAAGATAGAAGTATTTGTATCTTTTTTTAAAATGTATCTTAGAAAACTATTTAAATGAAGAAAATATATTAAGTTACAAAGGTTAAACATGCTAAAAAAAACCTCCAGGTAGGCTCAATGGGGGCACATCTGTAATCCAGCTACTCAGGAGGCTGAGGCAGGAGGATTTCAAGGTGAAGGCTATCCTGGCTGCTTTGGTGATACCCTGTCTTGAAATATAATTAAAAAGGAGTGCCTGCCTAGCATGCCGAAGGCTGTAGGTTCATTCAATCCCCAGTACTGACTCTGCACCTAGAAAAATTCTCATATGCATATTCTAATATTGATGGTAAATTGTGTATAAAATGGAACTATGCTCTATGTAATACTTTGTAATATGCCGTTTAATATTAAGCATTTTTTATATAATTCAATAAAATCACTTGTCCAGAACTATGGGGCCAAGTATATTTAGGGATCCAGAAACTTTATGAAAGATTACCAATGTATATTATGTTGGTATCTTTGAACATGAACTTTTAAATGGATTTTTCAACGTTTACTATGTTAATTCTAATAGCATAATTTTGTTTCCTTAGACATAGTGACAAAAGTGAGTAAGGTACATTTTTTTCCATAGATGCTTTTTAAAAATTGCTTGTTAATATTGCTTTTGTTTATTCGTTTCAGAGAAAACTTGTCAAAGGATCTTTATTTGATATCTCAGATGGATAGTGATCAGTTCGTCCCAATTTGGACAATTGCCAACATGGAAGAGATTAA